AAAAAAAAAGAAAAGGATAGTGGGACCTGTACCTCTGGCACCAGCTATTCTGTCTCTCCCCTTCCTTTTACTTTTTTTTTTGAACTGGGGATCAAACTCATAACCTTGCTCTTGCCAGGCAGGCACTGTGCCTCTGAGCTATATCCCCAGCCCCACTGCTTCCTTAAACATTAACCACGGTACCTGAGGTGGACCACACAACAACCCCTATTACTCCCCCAGCCTCTTCTGCATCCAGGATGCTAGGAGTCAGCCCCCAAAGGTGTGCAGTGCGGCCACCAGGAGAGCCAGCCTGAGTGGACCAGCCTCCTTCCTGCAGATGAATCCAAACACAGAGGCAACAAACCTTTCTCTCAAAATTCTGTCTTTCTTCTTGCTCTCTCACTCTCTCATCTTTTTCTGTTTTCAATTTTCATTTTTGGGGAGCAGATGGGTCACATATAAATGCTTTTCATGACACTACAAACTTACAACGTTACCACCTGGAAAAGTTCTCCTTTCGAATTCACCAGTTTCTAGCATGTGCGGGAATGTTCCTCACTGTTTTACCAGCTGTGAGTTGGCCTACTGGCTGAAGCCTATAGTGCCTGACGGGAAGAGAACTGTGTACCTTCAGAAATGAGTATTGGCAACATTTTATAGCCACCGTGCTTCCTATTTTTGCTTCTGTTTTAAATGATCTACCCATTTTAAATGTAAGACTCTATTGTGAAACATCTTTCTTGCACACTTAGCATCATCCTTTACAATCAAACTGGGCATGACTAATATTTTAACCATAGTGCTAACCCCGTCCATCAAAGTATGTGGTACTAAGAAGCTATACCATGTTCTTGACTAGCACATCCTCTTCATGTATTAAAAGAAGCAACAAGTAGAGTGAATGTAATAAAATTTAAAAACCTTCCCTTTTCACAACTGTTTGCCTTTTTAGATCAGGGAGAACCTGGTCCTTCTTCAGCTCCTGAAAAGCCTGAGGTGGTGGTGGAGGCCATCTATGTGTTTCTCCCTGTGAAGTTCTCTATGGACTTGATACATCTCACGTCTTGGCAATGGACCTCAGTGACTGTCAGGGTTAACTGCAAGCACTAGCTGTGGTTTAGGTGTCACATATGTGAACCCAAACTGGGGAAATAGCTGCCCTGTCCACCTGCATCACACCCCAACAGAGGAAAAGAGCAGGAAGACATATCCTTACCATTGTCATTGCCTTGCTTGATTTCCTCTGCTGTCCGATCTATCAGTACATACAAAGACCAAACCACACAAGTGATGGCGATGACATGGAAGGTGACCGAGCAGAATATTTTCCTCCTTTCACTCGTAGTCATCTGTAGTTTTTCCCACTGTAATCAGAAAGGAGTCATACACAACTGAATTGGTAACCAGAAAATTTTACTTGGATTTTGCTTCCCAAACATAGGCTACAAATGGAAGGACAGCATTGTGATTTTGCAACTTTAGATGACACTGTAATATTCAAATACATCTTTATGGTTGAAAAGAAATGAAGTCATAACCAACAGACTTAAGAGAAAACAAAAATAATTTCTTTTTCTCCAAAAGACTGAAATCCCGGTGTTTCTGTTTTGCCTGTCTTTGTCTCATTCTGTAATGTGAGGTAGTTGAAATGTTTTACAATTTTTAGAAAATGTTTCCCTTCTCAGTTTCTGCCTATCATTCCTTTGTGTTATTGGGTTATCAGTGGTAATGGGTAACATCTTTCTCGGATTATCGCATAAGAATGACACAATGTTTCATTCCTGAATATGTAAGCTCAGCAAGTGTTTGAATGGGTTGATTGATAACTGCGAGGGAGTCAACACTTTCTGTTCACGACTCTCTTAGAAAAACAAATTTTAAAATCTGGGAAATGGAAGGAAATCTGTCAAAGCCTCTTTCATAGTGGCCTTGATTTGTTTCAGCAAACAGAGTTGCAAATGCTCAGACGATCGCATTTCCTCTACTATGCTCCCTCAGAGAGCGGAGGTCTAGCTGTACGTTTGTGGAAGTAAGATTTATGTAAGGGACTGTTTTCCATACTTCAAAAGAACAGACCTCAAAATAAATTTTAACGTCCTTATAGCCACAATGCCACTTCATCTCCATGTTAGGTATTATGTCTTTATTTTTCTTTGGCCCACTGTGTTTCCATAGGAAAATCAAATCGTCATGATTTTACTAGAGATGAGCAGTCAGAGAACCATTTTTCACTTCTTCCTTTATTAGCAGGCTAATACTGTCACGGTTGACATTGTGCCTGACTAAAAACTGTTTTTTTGCCAACTTTCTCAGTGGAGGTGAATATTGACTACTTTTCACAAATGAGATGTTGGCAGATACACACTGAGGCATCCGACAATGGCCCTCTTTTCTTTTCCTTTATTTTTTGTTCATTGCTACCCAGAAGTCATAACAAACACAGCAAGTATCAACAGTCATTTTGCAACCTCCGAGGAAAAGTCTTATGAATTGGAGGAACCTCAGCCCAGTTAGCAACAGGTAATCTTTGGCCTTCCTGTTGAATGTGAGGAAAATAAATTTCTCTCATTAAACCCTGATTTCCAAGGTCTTTGCTACTTGGTGACCAATGTGATTCCTAGTAAGAAAATTAAAAAAAAAAACCTTTTTAGCCTCCCTCCCAGCCTTTGTGTTAATTTCCTATAATTAGATCCTATAACTTGATCCTATAATAAGATCCTATAGTTATCCTATAATCTATAAGTACAACACAATACTTAAAGTCTGAGCTTGATGATCCAGAGAGATTTTTGAACTTTTTCGAGTAAAAAGTTTTATTTATAAACTTTACAGTTCCTTTCTTCTTACTAGAAAACCATCTAATAATTTTCCTTATGAAAATCTATTTGAGTTAATTAACAATTTATAATTTTTCCTCTACTGTTCATTTTTTTCTCATCAAATAATGCCATACTTCTTCTACCAAGTGTAATAATGGAGAAATCTTAATAACGTGGCTAGGAAATACTTGGACATATCATTCAAGACTTTATTTTGGATTACTATTAGATTGAAAAGGTTTTAATGTTACTCTGACATTTATCAGTAGTTCCTATACTATCTGTGAAAGTTTGATTTTTAAAATCTTGATTTGGTACTGATTTATTGTAATGTTAGCTGAATAAACTGTATAATTATAGAATATAATTTGGCAATAGTATTTGGGGAATTAATAAATACAACTTGAATAGCTTCAATATTTAGTTTGACCAAAGAAAAGGTGCAAAATGGTACAGAAAAGCAGCTTTACATGTTCAGATTCCCAAAATGTTCCAGTGTATGAGGATACCTTCACTAACAAAATAGACCAAATAACTCTTAGTAGTTGCAAAGCTGGCTTTAAAGTCCCCTTAAAAATTGGGACTTCTTTTATTTAAGGATCCATTTGCTGAAATGACTGGGGCTATTCCTTAGATTTAATGAACCTCAAGTACAAAAATATCAGTGGAGCTGACAGAGATGAACAAAATAATTTGTAGAGGTACCTTCTAGTTCCAGACAATAGAAGTTCCAAGTTATCACTTCTAACTGACATTACGAGTGCTATTTTAGGAGGGAAATGCAGTGTGAGGGGACCATGAATTTACAAAGCCTTGCAGGAACCACTGAGAAGTTCTGTGGACACCAGGCAAATAAACATGGTGCCACAGCACCCTCTTCCTAGGAATCATGTTAGTGCATCTAACTTTCAGTAGGTGGCACCGGGGAAATCAAGGTCCATATGAATCAACTGTTCTTTCATACTGTTTGTTCAGGTTCTTTGCAAAGTTTCAATACATTTTGCAAAGCTTCACAGTGGGAAATAGAGGAAGAAGGAAAGGCTAAGACCCTTATTTTAACAAAGTTCTCATGAAAGTGCTGTAATTTAATATTTGTGATGTTGAAATTCAGTAGCAGCTTGCAAAAGTTGTGACAGGAAAGTGATAATCCATGAAAATTCACATAACATTTGGCTTCCTTGCCCAGCTTTATAAAGCATTGTGGGATTCGTGCCAGGCACACCGGGTGCCCCCAACAATGTGATCATTGTTACAGCTTTCTGGGGACTGCCAGGAGACCCTGTTGGGGTTCTCAAAGTCTGTTTCCCTAATCTGCAACAGCATTATGGAGCACTAATTAGAGTCGCAAATTCTTGATCTCTACTTCCGAGACTACTATGTTGGCTTTTCCCACAGGGAACACAGAAAATCCAATGGAACTGCTCACCTTTGCCTTGCCACTAGCAGAGGACCAGGGGCCCCTGCTTTTCCTCTTTAGTTCTACACCAAATATTCCGTCTTCAAGTCTCTCACTTCTAAGGAGACACATCTCTCTCCGAGGGGTCACAGGAAGTTCGCGGAAATGATCAGAAAGTGGCTCCTTCTCCCTCCCTCAAGGGTCGAGTAGACTACAGCACATCACCCAACTCCTTATAACTCTGGATCTTGCCAGCTTTCCTATCTGCCCTCTAGAAATCTTCAAGTTCTCTGTCCTACTTTGAAAATGGGTGTCAGCTAATGTTGGAGAACCCAATTACACAAAATCTTAACGCCCCCTCCACAAAAGGCCTGAAACTCGCATTAGGCTCTATAGTCCCTGAGATTGGACACTTATTTTATTGTTTTTGGCCTTTTGTTCTTTGCTAAAGCCCCTAAAGCAGTACTGGCAAAACTTTTAGAGACTAAGTACCAGACTACAACCCTAAAACTTATTCAGTTTTGGCAACGTGCTAAGTCTGCACTGAAACCTAAATAAACCTAAATACTAAAGTTATCGTTTAGAAGAAAACAACTCTACAATAATATCTTTTTTCTTAACAGAAAAATAAAATATTTGTGCATTAGATTTTCCATCGCTACTCTAAAGAATAGAAAGAATTGAATAGAAATCTATTATTTACTCAGAAATATACTACTAGAATTTTAAGAACAAATTTCTGAATTATAGTATAAATTGATGCAAATATTGTTTCTGCAAAATTTTCCATTTGCTCTCACTGAGCCAGACTTTGCATTACAGTGTCAGGTTTTTCTGAGTTAAATTACTTGCATATGTATTCTGCCTTAAAATATAAATTCAAAAACACTGCCTAATGAAAATGTTTTAAAAATATTTGTGGAAAGAAGACAGTTTATTTGCACAATGTTAAAATACACGAGGGAGGCAAAGGCACTTCTTTTTTCCTTGACACTGTTCCAGTACGTTTACTAGCTTTCAGTATCAGGGAATCTGCAGAATGACAGGACAAAGACCTAGCACTTGGTGGCACCTGGTCTCAACAGTAGCTAGGTCCAGCAATACAGGCTTTGCCTGTTGTTTCATCAATCCTGCATAAATGCAAGGCTATATTCTAACAGTTTAATTTTTTTTCTGAAGCAGCTTTTCATATTATGTTGGAGTTTTGCCACATTTGAGCAAAAAATACCTACAAGAGCAGTCTAAAGTGTATTACCTTATTTACACAGTTTCCTAAGATAGGTTGTGCTAGGGGATCGTAAGTAAACTCTTCAAAGGTTCTAGAAATTGTTGTCTTAAACAAGTTGCTAGAGGATCCATTCCTATAGAGCAGTAGTTCTCCAAGAGTATTTCCCCATGTCAGACCTGGGAACTTGTTAGAACTTCCAGTATTTCTGTCCCTAGGCATGGACACTCTGAAACCCTGAGAAAAACCAGTGTTCTGTTTCAGATAAGGAAAGACCCATGTGACATAGCGGGACCAGCCAATGCTGCAAAAATAGGATGCAGGATGGAGCCAGACAAAACTATAGCGGGACCAGCCAATGCTGCAAAAATAGGATGCAGGATGGAGCCAGACAAAACCATCTCCCACACAGAGGCTAACACGTAGATCTGATACTCACCCCCGGACATTCCTGTCCACCAGCGCCGTCTTGGTCTGACCTGCTCTGGACCCAAACCAGAACCAGCCCATAGAAGGAGAAAATGAAGGTGGAACCTATTTCCAAGAAATGCCCACCCCTTTTATGAATAATCCTTTGTTCCCTTTAAGATGTCATCTTCCCCAGAGCAAATCCTTAATAGAACCCTCAGCCTTTGTTCTGTTTTAGAAGCTGACTGTAGTGGTGTGTCCCACTTTTCCTAGTCCTTGGCCAAGAAAACAGTTTTGATTGCTGCTATACTGGTGCCAGGTTTCGTCCTAGAGCTTGCAATTCTGGAGGGAAAAAAGGACCCCATCTGGGGGCAATTTCAGGAGCATTTTGGGCCCCTCATCACATTTTGAATGGGAAATTCTGGCAGTAATCTAGATCTTAACAAAGACCCCAGATTATTTTTCTGCTTGTCGTCTGCCTTAAAAAAATAAAAATATCAGTGAGTGTGCTCCAAA